AGCCTTAATCCAATTCAATTGAGCAGGCACATTCAATGCGAAACTCTGACACATCCTGCGGCCAACACCACACATTCATCCCCTGTCAAGAGAATTGTTCTTTGGGAATCTTGACAATTTAAAGCTTTCAACAAACATGCTTGTAAAGAACTCTATTACATCCTCCTGACCAAAGCTTCATTTTACGAATTTGCGTACCTTAACAGGGGCTGCTATCATCACCATCATCGGCAGCGATGGAAGTAGCAGAACCACGCAAAATAATAAATAGGCATCTTCCTCACCTCTATTCCCTCTGACGCCACGAAAAAGCGTGCACCTAGTTCAGTAGCAAATCCAACTTTAATTGTACTGGAGATACACAACATCTTCGGTGTTAATTGGCATGAAAGTTCCACCAATGGTGAACTTCTATATCCTCCTTGAAATCCAGCACCACTGCATTCCGGCGATAGTGACAACCTCCACGATGCAAGCTGTGCTGTGGCAACTCATCCACAATCACAATTACCCCATGGAACCGCATTCCCTCCCGATTATGTCGACAATTCAGCAGATGACCAGGCCATGGGCGCCAACGGAATGCTTCATTCCTTCCAATCCAGCGCCAATGATCCACGGTGTTCATTGCTCCTATACTGCAGCATCACCTTCTACAAGATCATGCATACAGAAATCTCACTCTCTGAAAATCCTATTTCTATCAGTAAAGCTCTTTGAACTCCTCTTTATCACCCCATGTTCAAAGCTCCTCCCTCATGCTGTCCTCCACTGTTTTCGCCACAAGGCTACATCAGAGGAACACAAAAGACGACCACACCTCGAAAACCCCAACCCAGGCACCGAATCTCGGTACATTCATTCTGTCCAAAATCCAAGACTATCAACTAAAGCGTCTCAACCTGACAACAAACAGACATCCACACCCAATTCCTCAGAAACACAAGCACCACCTACAGTCAACGCAAGCCATCAAATTCAACTGAAAACCAATTGTCACTTCATGTTCATAGTTCACTCAATCAAGCAGTAATAGGGAGTCAATACCAAAGCCAAGATGGAGAAATAGAAGATGAGGAAGGGGGGTAAAGGCGTCAATACTACTCCACCGTCTTATTGCTTAACACACACACACACACACACACACACACACACACACACACACACACACACACACACACACACACACACACACACACACACACAC